CACCCGTAGCGGCATGTCGTTGGCTTGTGGGAGGAAGCCGGGAACCCACACAAGCACAGGGAGAACAAGAAAACTCCATACAGAAAACCCCATCAGCTGGTATGTGAGTGGTACTATGCATGTATTGTAGGGCGGTCCCTAAGGATGAATGAATAAACTATGAGGATATTGAATGCTTCCGTATACGGTTGGCTGCATGCTTGATGGTTTTGGGGAAGGTTAAGGAGGTCTGCACCACTCTTGGGCACTGGCAGACCCCAGCAGGGATAAAAGAGTAAAGGGGGAACAAAGGGACAAGAATACATGCCAAATACATGCATTTCGCATGCACGAAAAGCGGAAGTAGAAATAGAGAGGCATACAATTACATTATCTCCATGTAGAAACACAAGGTTAGTGAATAATTGCACTCTTATTTCTATGGCCAATACTGTAAAGACTATGACAACCCCTACTAGACTACTACTTTATTTATACTACTTATTATTTATATTACTGCAGTAATTCTGCAACATTAACATCAACTTTACATACTGTATTTTTACACTATTGTCATTCTCAGTGAATCAGATACTGCTCAGTAGAATGTGACCAATACTGGATTCTTTAAGATGATATCTATTTTTGGATTTTCTAAAATATCATAATGAGCTTTTAGCATTTTGATAAAGGTGCTTTAAATTTGACTTAAAAAAATTTGCAACCAACTGAGTGGAGCATTCTACTTTTGAAAAGCCAGCGCTGGTGGACAAACTATGATGGCAACAAATTATAATGGTGACTCTGTTGCTTTCCTGCCCTGATGTATATTTCTTGGTAGCAGACAACTTGTGCCTCTACCAATATATTAATAACAAGCTAATATCAAACAATAATCTCCCTATGCATCAGGCTCCACTGCCCAGCCTTTATCTGATTCTTATGAAGTACAGAAAAATGACACTGTTTGCAATCTCCTGGTTTTATCCATAAATTGATCATGAAATATGACCTGAGCTATTTCTAAGCTGATAACACAAACAGTCATAATCTTTCATGTCTTTATTGAACACACACATTAAACATACAAAGAGATAGTGGAAAACCTAATAGCAACAGTGTTTTAATAACTGGTTGAACCACCTTTGGCAGCAATAACCTCAAGCAAGCACTTCCTGTAGCTGTGGATTAGACCTGCAGAACCTTCAGGAAGAATTGTGGACCATTCTTCCTCACAGAACTGCTTCAACTCAGCCATTTTCTTAGGATGTCTGGTGTGAACGGCTCTCTTGAGGTCATTCCACAGCATCTCTGTTGGGTTGATGTCTCAGGTCTGACTGGGCCACTCCAAAAGGAGGATTTTGTGTCTCGGAAGCCATTCTGTAGCAGATTTACTTTGATGGTTAGGGTCGTTGTCCTGTTGCATCATCCAGCTTGTTTAGAGTTTCAGCCACCCTGACATTATCTGCTAGGAGACCTTGATAAATTTGGGAATTAATTTTCCTTTCCTCAACGGCAAGCAGTCCAGGTCCAGAGGCAACAAAGCAGCCCCAAATCATGAAGCTCCCTCCATCATACTTCACTGTTGGGGTGATGTTCTCCTGTTGGTTTGCGATTCTTCTTTTATGTCATACATAGTGCTGTGTGTTCTTCCCAAACAGTTCTACCTTCATGTCACCTGTCCACAGGAAATTTTCTCTGTAGTGTTGTAGTGTCAAGGTGGTCTTTGGCAAACTTTGGGAGTGCTGCAGCGTTGTTTTTGGAGAGCAAAGCTTCCTCTGTAGTGTCCTGCCATGGTTACCATGCCCGATCAATATTTAGCATAGGGTTGACTCATGAACAGAGATGTTAACCAATTTCAATGAATCCTTCAAGTCTTCAGCTGTTACTCTAGAGTTCTGTTTTACCTCACTGAGCATTCTGCGTTGTGCATTTGGAGTGATCTTGGCAGGGCATCTGCTTCTACTGTATAGAAGAGTAACCACAGTACCAATTTATAGATATTATGTTTAACTGTGGACTGATGAACATCTAAAGATTTATAGATATTATGTCTAGCTGTGGACTGATGAATATCTAAAGTCTTTGAGATGACTCTGACCCTTTCCAGCTACATGCAAATCAACAACTCTTGTTCGTTGGTCTTCTGAGATCTCCTTTTTCCCAGGCTTGGTTTGTGAATACCACACTGAGACTGTCTGAGTGTTTTCATAAGTCAAGGTAGTTCTAAACCACACCTCCATTCTCGTTTCACTGACTGGACTCCAGGTTTGCTAACACCTGGCTCCACTTGACGTTCAGTGACATCAAAAGCCTGGTGTTGCCATTACTTTTTTCACCATCACTTTGTATGATTAATTGGTGTGTTCAATAAAGACATGAAAGATCATAACTATTTGTGTTTTATCAGCTTAGAAATATTGTTTGTTGATACTTGTGACTTTGGTGAAGATCAGATCACATTTCATAACCAATTTATGCCAAAAACCAGGAAATTGCAAACAGTGACATTATTTTTTTCTTGCAACTGTAAAGTATATTCTCATTTGCACAGACAGGAAGGCTTCACCGTCTCACTCTGTTTCTTATAAACAGGTATAGTGCGTGCATCTAGCCTGTTCCCTATTCTCAGCACCATCCTGCTGATGCTGGGTGGCCTGTGTGTCGGGGTCGGACGCATCTACAAGAGCAAGAACAACATCCTGCTCAGTGCTGGCATCCTGTTTGTGGCTGCAGGTAGGACAAGACTGACAGCACACTACAGATACACACCACTGAGAATGCATAGATTCAGACAGACAGAAGGTGAAGACAGACACAAAACAAGCGTGTTTTTCCCTTTGGTGTCAGCATTGCAAATCAAGTTTTGTCTCTCCACTTCATAGCACAATGAAATAAGAGGCTATAACACATCTTCACACTGCATTTTTGTTATAAAGTGGATTCTAATTCATCATTCAGAGACCAAACTTGTAAAGGTATTTTTCTCAGGTTTTGGATGCACTAGTTCTAGGTATGTAAACCCATATTCTGTCAGCCCCTTGATGAACAACAGCACTGTTAACAGATAGCCAACAGAGGTAAAATGGGGTGAGCTGTAGGCTTTGACAATAATTTTTTTGGTTTACACTCTGTAAGAATCTTACATCCACATGCTGAGCTTTTCTTTCATCTTTCCTTTTAACATTTCTCCCTCTATCTTTCCTTCTCTCATCTCTCCTCTCTTCAGGCCTGAGCAACATCATTGGCATCATCGTCTATATCTCCAGCAATACTGGAGATCCCAGTGACAAGAAAGACGAGGACAAGAAGAGCCAGTATAACTACGGCTGGTCCTTCTACTTTGGTGCCCTCTCCTTCATTGTGGCCGAATCAGTGGGTGTTCTTGCTGTCAACATATATATCGAGAAAAACAAAGAGACACGCTTCCGAGCCAGACGCGACTTCATTAAAACCGCTTCTTCCTCTTCACCGTATTCTCGCATCCCGAGTTACCGTTACAGACGGAGGCGCTCACGCTCCAGTTCGAGGTCATCTGACCCTTCCCGCGAGCCTTCCCCGGTGGGTTTGAAGGTTGGTGGAGGAGGAGGGTTGGGTATGGGGTTGCCGATGGGGGATATATCCCTGTACGCCCTCAGTAGGGACCCATTAAAGGGTGGAAGTGGGACTGCAGGGCCTTACAGTCCTGAGAGGGACTCTGGGTTTTTACAAGTCCATAACTGCTTCCAGAAAGATCTGAAGGATGGAGTGAACAGGAGGACCACACCTGTATAAGGTCAGGAGTGTACTGCTGTGTAAAACAATAAGCTGGATGGAACACATAAGATACTGTAGAGCTGATGAGAAAGGACAAGTCCTCCCTGGGGCAGCAGCCATGTTGAAAGGTCAGAGCTCAGAGCTATTTTCCTCATGTTGCTCTGTGTCAGACGAGTGCCACTCTGTGGTTCATTAGGAGGAAGAGGAAAACTTATCAAAATAACTTTTTATGATATGCCTCATTTTCTTCTTTAAAAAATAAATGCATAAATTTTGTAGCAATATTTGATGTGTTTTAAAACGTGTTTTAAAAAAAATTAAAATGGTGTGCCCACTATTTGAAGAAGTGACTTCTGCTGAAGTGTTATTCTTTGAAGGATAGTCCCAAGAGTTTGCCTGAGGAAAGATGCACCTTTTATACACTTGATACTCAACATAAAAAGATTCTGAATATTGAAGCTAAGGTCATGATGTTTTTCCTCTGAAGTAGCTGTACAGTGTTGTGGAAATGAACTTCTATCTTTTATTCGAGGACAAAAAAGATGTTTGTCTCCAAAAGCTATTTGCTGAAATTAAGTGATTTATGTGCTTGTTTGTTATCAGAGTGTTGTTGTATTGTATGTGTTTGTAACTTAACACAACTGGTGCTAACTTTATCTGTACACCTTTGATAGTCTTGAGCCTTCTCAGCTGCCATTTAAGCATGTAAACTGCCATTTACTTTCACTGCGTTTCAGTAACTTCTCTCAGCTTTGAGTCATGTGATGCATATGTGTGTTATAGTATGTGAAGTGCCACACTTTAACACATTCATACTATGAATATGGATTTTTGTAGCTATGTATCAAAAATGACAAGGTGCACTGTCATGTCAGTACATTCCAGTATGCTGTGTGGTGAATCCGTAGAAACGTGTGTAGGCTGTGTGTGTGGTTTGCTCAGGGACAACATACAGTACCGAACAAATTACCTAAGCCAGACAGACTATTACAGTCGCTGTGTGTAAAAACAGAGGTGAGATCACGCCGTATGTGTTGCTGTTAATTAACGTGACTTTGCATTTACTGCCTTTGTGTTCAGAGGGTTGTTGTTTGGTACAGAAATGTTGATCATGCTGCAAGAAAATACATTTGTAGGTTAGACACAACTCATATTTAAACTATTTCTGTACTTCTACTGCTCCATATTAATAAAAATTGTTTGGAAAGAGTCATTTTTAAGGAACCGACAACAAAGAACAAACCATTTTGTGTCATGGCGTTGTCATATAGCTTTGTTTTGCCAAATTTAACACCTCTATATTGAGGTTAATGTAAAAATCCTCAAGAAAAGGTTTAAAGTACATTTGCTTTAGATTCTTCACAATCAGAAACAAATATTGTGATTTTTATTGATTTTTATTGGAAGGTAATTAAAGACCATCCAAAACTCAACTTTATAATTACGCTTTGCTCCACTTTGCTTGTGGTTTGATGTAAAATATGGGCTGAGAGGCAACACGCTGTTACTTTCCACAGCTTCTGATTCCCTCGTAGAGGAAGGCTTTAGGTAATGACTCGAGGTTGATGTGCCTGTTATGCTCTGCTATGAAGCAGAGTAGCAGACAGTCAGGCAACCACAGGGTGTTAAAGGAAATCGGCATCAGCCAACTTAATGCTTGACTGAACTAACAGGCTCCCAGATGCTCATCCAGACTCTGAAAAGCTTGTCTCCCAGTCTCCAAACAAGAGCTGGAGCAAAGCAGGGGCTTGTGTGTGTGAAGGGCTAGTAGAAGTTGAGTCATCCTTGGTAGGGTACACATTTGACTGGCTTCCATGTCAGCTTCATGGTGTGTCTCCCTCCTGAGTATTTTTAGCAGCAGTTGGAATTGGTTTAATTTGTTTGCTGGTTTGTGAGTCATTGTCACGGCGGTTGCCTCGTGCTTTTTGAACGTACAGTGCCATGAGAGGGCATGCAGGCTCTTCGAAAGTCATTCTTCTCCCAGCTATAGTTGTTATTCAAGTCACTGAGGCGAAGGGAAAGACTTGAACTAGAATAGGCTAATTTTTATTCTGTGTGTGCATGGTGTATCTTTTATACCAAACAGGGACTGATGACCTTGTTTCGCCACTGCAGCCCTGAATCTGAGCGATTCTTTCTCACCCTTCTCCTCTGGCTATCACCCAGGCCGTTAAGCCCTGTGAATTTGAACGCCATGGTCCTGATATTTTCATCCACAATACAGTCACCCACCCCCACCCCTCTGTTGTGCCCCAGTGAAATTTCTCCTCCCATAATTGAGAGGGAAATGGCAGGGTCACCCCTCTGTGCAACCACAGAACTAGCCAACATTTGCTGGTGTAACAAATGGTAAATAACACAGTAGCCCATGCTACAGCTATTTTTATACTAAACTTGATACACCCAGTGCTATAACAAAACATTTACACTTAGCAATGGTTTATTTAAAAAGCAACTTTGAAACTTTAATTGCAGGCATTAGAAACTAATATATTTGAGACAGTTATAATTCTACATTCTACATTCTTCTGTTGGAAAATATGTAAGGACAACCTGTTGGACTTTCATTACAATTTGCAGGTGTAATTCTTGCAGCAATGGCTTGAATAAAGATAGGGCAAAAATGCTGTATAATATAATATAAACATACATTTCAAGTGACAGTCTTTTAATAGAGAATACCACTGTTACTGCCACAAACTATTATCAAGTCACCAGCAGTGAAAGCGACCCTATGCATATGGTTGTGCAGAAATCTCTTTTATTTTGGTGAGTTGATCACAGTTTCTTCAGCAGTACATGTAAGTTAAACCTTATGTGAGCTTCATACTGTTAGAAAAACATGTACTTTGAGGTTACAGCACAACTGTGAAACCAGATGTGGTTTCCATCTCCACAGTTGCTCGCTCTCCTCTGAGTTCTTTTTGAAATTTTAAAATGGCTGACATTTCTCCCAGCAGGAAGCCTGATTCCTTGCTCCCTGTTGATATCGGTGCCACGCTGTCTGTCCCGGAACCATAGGCATCTATTAGGATGACATCTGTCACTGTGCTAAGACTGTATTTAGCCAGCAGCAGTTGGAGCTTAACCTTTTTTTTTTAATCTGCAGTGGCACATGAGAAACATCAGATGATCATGAAGCAGTGAAATTTATCTAACTATTTTACAATGTTTGCAAAAATTGAAGTTAATTTCTTCTACCTTATTAAAGAGAAACACAGATAAAGCTAAAAATTAATAACATAAGGGACAAATGTAATTATGAGTAACAGCTTGATATTCAACCACTGGTTTTGACAGTAAAGTGTTAAAGCTTTGGTTAAATTTCAGTTTATTAACAAATAACCCACAAATTGAGTGAGAAAGATATGAGGACAACTACAGGGATAAATCTGAAGAGTTCAATGTTGTATCACCCTCTATCCTTGTAAAGACAAGCGAAGCCGGTTTTGGTTAACTGAGACCAAAGATCTTAGAAAGCGCACAGTGATTTAAAATACACATTAGTTTCCCAGAAAGTGATCGGTGACATCTTTGAAACGGACATTTATCCCTGCAATTGAGAAGCAGTCATGACAAGCCATAATCAATGTAGCCTTGTGTCCTCTATGATTACAATCAATAGAGTTCAGTGGTTCAGGTTCTGTCCACACCATTAGTCCACGAGATGAGGTTATTTCTCTTGGAAGACATTTGAAGTCTCCCTAAAGACTTTGACCTGCACTTACAGCTTGATTGTGGTTGTCTCATTAGAACAGAGGTTAAAGGTTGAACAAGCCAATATCTGTGAAGTCAAGAGTTGTTGCTCCTTGGAAGCCATTATAGCAGTGCCATCAGTGGAAATCTTGGTAGGTTTTGAGAAGAGCTGGAGCAATTATGGATTCACTGTGGATTATAAGACAATAAAATCAATATTGCCTGCAAACAACAACTGCACAACTGTCAATAAAATATGGACAAAAAGACAGTTGATCAGTGAAGGATGAAGGTGGTGAAACATAACAGGTTAGTGACTGAATTACTCATATAACACAAGGTACAGGATTTAATTGCAATGATGTAAAGTTTTTGCCAATTAAATATGTGTTTATGGTCATATTGAGCCATTCACCAATAATGTCTTACCACCTGATATATTTTTACTCTCAATAAGCTGAACTTCACTAGCTAGGGTCTGCCCTCAGTGTATGAGAGAAGAATGGTGCTAGGTTATGGACTGCAGTTTGGGGAGAAAGGCTTCGGGGACCTGAAAAATACAAAATTCTCAGTCACAGTAGATGTCTTCAGATGGCCTTGACTTTTTTTTCCCAATTTATAGTTCTCAAATTTATTCCACAATGAGAGACAAAAGCGAGTCCTCATATTTTGGGAAGCATGAAATAAGTGAATGTCCAGTATTTTCCCTTCATAAATTATTTAGACTGTTAAACAAAATTTCTGACAATTCTTTTCTGTCATATTGACAAAACTATTAATCAGTGAATCATTCCAGCCCTAAAATTTACTTAGCTCCAGTATCATGAAAAATAGGTGGCTAAGTGTCTTTGCTTTGACCCCCTGCCTCATCTATTGTAACATGAAGTATAACTCATAAACTATTCAGGAGCACACCCGTTATAAATCAGGCTTCCAAAGAATTTAGAATTTAAAATAGACTGGTATAGGTGTGTTAAGGATATTTTGATCAAGCACAGCTACACAGCCAAGTCAATGGTGATAGTTGGCACCCCATCTAGTTCAGAGCAAGGAATCATTTCAGCCAGTTTATACTGGGGGAAAGGTGGGAAAACATTCTGGAAAGACCAGTATTTTCAGGAATAGCACAATTCTCCTAAGGGCAATTTAGAGTCATTGATTCACCAGAGCTTTGTGTGATAATGATAATCTGACTGAACTGCCGTGATTTGGGTTGTGATTCAGAAGTCTGAAACCAGGAACAACATGCACATTCAGCTAGCCAGACTTCCTGTCTGATTTCCTGTGAGGAGACAGTTCACTTCCCTAAAATCATAGGTGCACGCTGTGTCATTGCTTTGTCAGTGGAGTCGGTCTATGGTGCAGACGCTTAGTTTTGGACATCCCACGATTAATTTTTGAACTAGTTGTCAACTTGTTAACCTTTATTATTTTTGTAGTTTTGGACAAATGTTATTTAGAAATTGAAATGCTCACATACTGCAAAGCAAAACGGCGGCTCAGAGGAGCATTACAATGGAGTCTATGAATGATCCCAATGAGGAGCAGTCAAACAGGCTGTCAACACTTCTATGTGAACCTAATCTAAGTAACATATTTGTAAGTGAAAATAGAAGCATAAAATTGTGTAAATGATGACATAAATATCCATTAGATTTGGACTGCTCCTGCCTTGTTGGATGGATGGATGACTATAATGGACACCTGCGCTACAAACTCTTTCATCTTCATGTTCAAATTCTGTTGCTGCTTCTTATAAACCTGGGCTTGTTTAAAACATCATGGTTCCTTGAGTGAAGTTGTCAAGTCTCCCAAACTTCTGTTCACTTTCACACCAAGGAGAAGTGGGTCACAGTTATGATAAAGAGACTCAAAGTGGGCCAAGGCTTAAAAAAGATAAACATGATGATTTACTTTAGCGGACTTATCAAAGGGATTAGCACACCTCTCAGGGTTTTTGTATTATCTGAAGTACATTTTCTCCTTCACTCATTTTACAACTCTGTTTCAGGAGAAAACCCATCTTTAGAAGAATACTTTCTTATACTATTACAATGACAATGTATTTTGAACATTTTCAAGTATTAAAGGAAAAATCCAAGCCCTTTAAAATGTGATCAGATCTACAGCTCTTGTTAATCATGCTCTGTGGCTACATTTTGCTTTGCTGAATTTTTGTATATTTCATTTCAACTGGCCAAAGCTCAGAGGAGATGATGTTACACAGACATGTGCTCTTGTAATGTGGCTAGTTAGTGACAGCAGTAGACATGTGGTGTTCACAAAAATGAGCAGGAAAAACAAGTTAAAGTAAGATTTGATAATACAAAGACGACACATTGAGCATCCCAATAAAGACAGATTTATGATCATTTTAAACTCTGGACTGTAGTGTTAAGTAAGCATCCTGACTGGACTGACTAAAAGCAGTATTGTTACATTAGTGTTGGAGCCAAGACGCTGCTCTTTGTAAACACATCCACTTTCATCTTATAAATAATTTACAAAGACAAATCCACAGTGAGGTGGCGTTGTAGTAAAGCAGACGGTAAAATCACAACCACTGTAGGTGGCTGGAAACTAAGAGTGGGAAAATGATTCTCAATATGCTTTCTGAAAGTTTGCACAAAATATGGATGAGAGAAAATTATTTATGTTTTTGTTTGTTATAGTGAGTTACACATCTCCACCCACTGGCACTGTAACTGGAAAAACAGGCAACCTGACAACTTGACTCACACAGTCACATTAATAGAATCCAGCCCACCATCCCCCTCAGCAAAACACTTACCAGCACATGCAGCAGCCCCCACACCCACTGCCCAACATGGCAGACAGCTGGTTTGGTCATCATCTTCACTGATCCGCCTCAGCAGCTGTACATGTAAGTCTAAACTTACAACTCATAATGGGTAAGGAAAAGAGGACTTGAAACTAGGACAGAAGAAGTCTGGCCCCTTTCCCTTTGAACCTGAGGCACAGATTTGCGACAGGGGGAGAGAAGACACTAAACAAAGAGAGCAAAAGAGACTTTTTGGGAAGAACTTGTTAAAGTCACTGAGGAAAGAAACCCCTGGGACAAAGACCAGTGTGTCCACGTCACAGAACATCCAACTTTATTGATTTTTTACAATCATATCAGAGGACGAATATTCACTGAACTCAAATCTCACCACCTGGAATCATGCAGAAGAGCACCAAGATAAAGATTGCCATCTTCGTGCTGCTGGTTGGTATGGGTTGCATGTTAACGGCGGTGGTAACAGACCACTGGGCAGTGCTCAACCATGAGGTGACAAAAGTCAACACGACCTGCGAGGCGGCCCACTTTGGCCTCTGGAGGCTATGCAAAAAGGTGATCTACATGTCCTCTGAACACAGTGTGAATAGGCAAGGCTGCGGACCCATTACTCTGCCCGGAGGTAAGAGAACATCTGAGAAAAGACCTTCCTGTCTCTAACAGATAAAATGACATTAAAGTTATGACACTAAAGTATTTAGACAAAAAAAATCTGGCATTTTTACTGTATGAGTATTGTTTGTGTTGATGAGGTATGAAGCTGCTCCATAACAAGGCCTGACAAAGACCTTAGCTATCCCTTAGGTCTAAAGACTTACCTCCCACCCCCACTCCCAAAAAACCTTCTAATGCTATATTTCACAAATCTGTAAATTCCCGTTAATTACCAAATAATTTCCTAAGTTACTTGGTAAACGTCTAGTTATTTGTAAATGCTAAATTAGTGCACACACATGAGACTTTTATTGAGAGGACAGAAGATAAGCTACACATGTGACCTGTGAAATCTGTCTGTAAACAACCACACAATTCAGCATAAATGAAGAATAACATTTCTAATGATAAATGAATAGCAAATATTAATTGAAGTTTATATTGAATGATTTCTTTCTTAAAAATTCATCTGGAAGGCAATAATACATAAAGTCAACACAACTCAGTGAACTAACAACAAAAATCCCAGAACTTTGTTTCTATTTTTGTGTAATTAGTACTAACCTGTGTAGTTCTTTCTTGAAAACTTCCCAAATATTTATAGGAAATAAGGCAGAGGTCCACTATCTTATCTGCTACTCCATTACATTTTAGAAGGAACTATTTGTAGTGTGTATATCTCTTTTCTTATCCCACTATACATTTACATGTATTCATTTTTCAGATGTTTTTGTCCAGTGTGACTTATAAGGCACAATCCAAGCCACAGAATATCAAGAACAAGTCTTATGGTACTTACCACACTGTACAGTCATAATTAGGATTGACTTGATTTTTATAAACCATTTATTTATCAGTTTTATAAAATATAGATAATCCAACCAAACTCAGATACTAAACTGCTTAAAATGCTTAAATATCCAGTATAATATAACATATAATACAACATCCTGCTACTGATAATATGACATTTGAATGCAAGAATTTTATATAGAAGAACATTTTATATATAATGGACTATGTTTACACTGTGCTATTAATACTTTTACTAAAGTGAATGATCTGAATACTTAGTCCACCACATAATGTGGAGCCTGATGTCCTAACAAGGGCTCAGCTTGCTGTGAATGTCTCAAAATAAACTTTGCATGATAACAGATGCTCTTACAGCTACTTGAGTAAAAAGCAAACTGCAATTGAATAAACTGGCTGAAAACAGTTTTGAGTAGTTGCTGGTTAGCAATGATTCATGTTTCAGTGACCTCAAAGTGAAAAGCACTCATCTGTTGAATGAGTGTAGGTCATGAGTGTAGGTCATGAGTGACGCTCCGCTGGCTGGTCGAGCGTTACCTGAGAAGCAGCTATCTGACTGTTGATCGTTATCTGAGCCGACATGCCACTTTATGTAAATAGGGCTGGAACTTCTCACCAAATCTGTTCCAAACATAAAGCGCAGAGAAACTCCCCATGTATGTCCTAAATCATGGTAAGTGTTAAACTTTTGGGAATCCCAGACACTGCCTGCCCTGAAGGGGCTTCTCAGGATGAAATGCCTGTAGAGGCTCCTTTGTGAAGGCATGACAGGCATGTGCTGAGTATCCAAATAAGTTCAGCTCACCCAAGCATACAACAAGGAATTCTTCAGATCGCGATAATGCCGCAAATGCTTCTAATAAATGGGCCTTTCTCTACAGTTGTTCTTTTTTAATTTAAACAAGAATTAGATCATGTTATAAGATAACAGTCACTGCAAAAAGCCAGACCACCTCAGACCACTGCTAACAAATTGTTATCATCTCTACAACAATGCAGGTGATCTATGATTGCCTCCTTGGCAGCCTTTATTTAGGAAGTAAGTAAACCTCCTAGAGGTTTCCTAAGTGTAAAGGAGTTTCTCCCAGCTCAATAGCTGTATTTGGAGAAGAACATTATTGTTTATCATAGCTACACATCTTCAGAGAGGTGCCAGCCTCTGATCCAAAGCAGGACTCAGGCCGTGTGTGAGGAGGTCCTGTTCGCCGTGAGACATTCATCTGGAAAATATGGGCTGAGTTGTTGTTTAGGTTGACTGCCTACAAGGCGCAGACAGTGAAATGAAACACTTTATGTGCATAATACAGACTTGTATTGTATGACACATCTGCTCTATGAAAAAAAGTCAATTCTGAGCCTAAATTTTCCTTAGGAGTATTCATCCATCCATCCACAGAGGTGCTGGAGCCAATCCCAGCTGACACTGGGCGAGAGGCAGGGTACATCCTGGACAGGTCGCCAGTCTATCACTGGGCTCCTTAGGAATATATTGGGGTCTATATTTATATTGGCATTCTGAGCTGCTGTGAAGAGTAAATAAACAACTAGTGGAGATACAAAGTTCCTCCATTTAATTTCAAAGAATCTTGTGCTCTAATGGCATTTTGGCAATTTCAGTGGCCACAGGAAAAAAAAGTCACCATAGTTTCACATACAGAAATTGATGACTGAGAAAATGATTTTTAAATAGTACTGTGCAAATTGCTAAGCAAGCAGTTGTTGTTGTCATAAATACAGGCCACGTAAATACTCAGCTGTGCTGGGTGGAAGCCTTGAGGGTCATATGTTTCAACACCGGGGTTCTTCTGAGTGACGGGGCCGTCTGTTGTCCAACCAAACTATTCCCACAAGACCTTCCCGTAGCTCCATATCTCTGTGCAGACCACACAGCTACTCAGATTACTTTACGCCCCCAGGAACAGGATGCATAGTCCAGAAAGTGAGCAGAACCACTGGCATTTCACTTTAATAGGTGCTCAAGTGACAGAGCAACAGATAGGCATCAAATATGGAGATGAGGAACTGCCAGTGATGAACTCCTATATAGAGATGTGGCCATATGCTATTGTGGGTTTATAGCTGTATCAAAGCTCCATGATAGTTCTTAGGTTTAGAGAGCTCGACCTGTATCAGAAGAAAAACATACAGTAAAGTAAGTATTGGTAGTTTTCTTCCATTAAATTATTACATACTGCACAGGATTTATCAGATCCTACAGTGCATGTCTTTACTGTGGCGTGTACACTTTTGCTGACCCTGTCTTCACATGGTGTAGGTTATAAGAGTCACATAGAGCCGGCAAAATAAAGACACTGACTCAGAGGTCGGACCCAAACTTAACTGTAGACACAATGAATTGACAGTGTACGTTAAAGCTATAAAAGGTGCTGCTGTGGCATGACAATGTGCAGAGATGCTGCTAATCCAGCATCTTCACCTGATCTTTGCGTAGATGATGGATTGCCCTATTAGGAACAAAGGAGGCTCTACAGAGCTTGTCAGCATAGCCTAGCAGTGTGAGGACCAACAACAAGTGGAGCAGCAGTGGTGTGCTCTGTGTGTGTGTGCGTGCCTGTGGCGGCATGCTTCCTCAGATGAATGCAGATTAATTTATGACCACCAGCTTGTCCTCGTATTTGTGTTGAAGTTTGCACTCTAAAGATGGTACAAGAAGGTATAATTAGCCAACTCACACACAATCATATGTGGGAATTAAAGTGCTTGATGCCGATAATGAGCTCAAAAACAAATGCCAAGTGGCTCCACTTAAACATACTTAACAAACCAGATATGCATTTAGTGAATGAAGAGCCACTTGTCCTGCTGGGAGTTCTTACACTTTCAACTGGGAACCCACAAAAGAAACATTCCCTGGTGTTGTATGAGTTGTCTTGTGTTACAGCAAAGCAGTACCGTAGACTGAAGAGTGAATTAGATTCCATTAAAACCCATGAATATTCACAGTGAGGTTTAGATATTTTCTAGCTTCCCTTTTGAACACAAGGTTTGACTCAGAAGCACAACTCGTCTCTATCACTCCCTCCTATGTGCCTTCTGCACTGAAGCACACTGGAGCTTGTTGCTTAGTAACAACCTCTGTGTTTTTTTGTTTTTTTTTGATGACCAGTCCCTGTCCTCATTCATAAAAACATTTTTTTATATGTGAGCCAACACAATATAGCACACAGCAATAAAAGCTTATTTCAAAGGAGGCCTTTAAAAACATCCTTATGTTGAACTGGCTCAGAAAATATGATTGAGACAAATTGATTTTGCCTATTAAATTAAATTACCCAGTATTATTTCCTAGACATCCCTAGAAACTAGACATCCCTTTTTAATATATCACGGCTGAAACATGTAGCCTACTGAACAGGCACCAAGCAAAATCCTTTTCTGATTTCAGAAGGAAAATACCCCTGAATTTCCAGCTCTGAAAAGTGTTCGACATGACCACTCACCCTGGCGTTATGGGCTGGTCGCAGTGAGATGTGGCAAAATCAGGTTGCTTAGAGAGCAGTGTGCATTGAATGATCAACAGACAAGAGGCAGTGCAAAGTCAATTTAGAGGCAAATCAAAAGCAAAGTTCAGAATATAATATTTGCTACCAAATAAATGGAGCCTATCTAGCTTTGCTGACCTGCAAAAATATGCCAAAAGAAGGCGTTCTGCACAATAAAACATGCAAAGCAACAAAATTAACTTAAAATTAACTATTTACTAAAATCAATACATTCAAATGTAACCTCTTTGTAAGATTTTGATTTACATGTTTTTCTTAGTAACTGTAACTGAATACAATTACATTTATTTTGTCATTTCAATTACGGTAGTTACATGTAACTAGTTACTCCCTAACATTGGTGCACATTTCATACTTGTAACATGTATGTATTTTTTCACCACAGCGAGAAATATGAGTTACAAGTCAAATGTAATCAAGATTTGACAGGAGACCAAGCCTGTTCCTACACCAGAATCCATTTTTTAAAACTTATGACACAGCATTAAGTGCTATTTTCTACCAAACCAGACTATGACCAAGCACGTAAAGTGCCATGCCTTTATTTGCACAAATCCCTAAGGTTTAACATTTCATCTGGGTGGGAAAAATTGAATGTGATGTGTGCTGTAACCATCTTTACTTTGACAGTCAAACCACATAAAGGAGGCTAGGACCCTGCACAACATAACACAACCACTTTTTGGTATTACAAGTACCATATTCACACAGTTTACCACAGCAGATGGAGTACAGCTAGTGGTGCAAAAGTGTGTGGGGCAACGACATGGCCTAAGCATAACATATGATTATTTTATGATATAAAAACACATTAGTTGTCAAAGGAAAGAGAATGTAACTAGGGAAACAGTACTGACAAAATCAGTAAATGTGGGTTTAACTTATTACTAAATCCTATTTTCTTTGCTTGTTTGTTTTTTCCCCACAGTGGAAAACTGCACTTACTTCAGGCACTTCACTCCAGGACAGGATGAGGAGATATTTGAATACAAAACACAAAAAGGTAGGTTTCTGTTCCCGGTTCTCCTGTTGCTGTCCATCCTGTCTGAAAATGAAAAGAAGAGAGGTTCATTTAGAATTTCATTTTGTAAACATACTCCTTGTTAGGACATCCCAGTCCGTGTCAGGTTGACTCACCTGCCACTGCTGCTCTGTTCTCTGTGAGCTCAGGTTTGCATTCATGTTTCACCTCTGACGCGCAGTGGCCGTGTTCGACCGGCTGTCAGTGACAAGACCTGTCATCAGACGTTTAGAAGCCCTGAGTGAGAGGCAGTTGAATTTTCCTTTGACTTACCCAAACCTCTGTCCAACTGTGGATAAAGGTCGATGTGCATACACAGGACGTACAGTAACTAGCAAAGCAACACGTTGTGTCCTTCTGTATGAATGTGCATGATATTATGCCACATGGTATGCATGTACCAATATACACATAAATAATCCCACAAACACACATGAACCAGCAGTGTACACTATATAAATAAACATTCATGAATGTAAAGAGGATGCACATACAGTTCTGTACACACATCTACGTAAATGCACATGAAGAGCAAAGCCATATAACACTGTCTCAGAGAAATCATTATCTAACAAAAAAGAACACATATTCTGTGATACTCTGATCTCAGACTTAGACAGTGGAGGAAGAAATACTCAGGTTGTTTACTTCAAAAAGTAAACAAAACGTAGCAATACCACAATGGAAAAATACTCTGTATAATTTTTACATTCAAATTGCTTCTTAAGTAAAACTACAAAAGTATTAGCATACGATACACTCAAAGTATTAAAAGTATTCATTATGCAGAATGGCAAGGTTCACATTATCATATTATTAGACTATAATATTGATGTATTATGCATGTCATTTAATGTTGCAGCTGGTAAAGGTGAAGCATATGCTTAAACTATGAAGTACTTTGCATGCTGCTGGGTAGCTAGTGAATTTCCCACCAGGGATCAATAAAGTCCTATGATTATACTGTATTTTCATAAATACATCTCAGTCTGAAAAGTAATTAAAGTTATCAAATAAATCGAGTGAGTAAAAAGTTCAGTATTTTCCTGTAAAATGTGAGGAACCGTTCATTAGTTCAGTACAGCAAGTCCTATATGACCGAGGAACTTTTCAATGTCTATCTTGTGTTAATTAACTTTGGTGTTTCAGACTGCATTATCCAACAAGCTCCACAAACCTACAGTACCTTAGAGAACATACCGAGTTCAGGGTGCGGGCCATCTCCCCTAAAGGAACGCCTCTCCCCAGGGCATGGTTCACAGGCAAACGGGCAGTAGATCAAAGGCCTTGCATCCAATCCTCCCTGCTCAGAAAGACAAGACAGCTGCTGTTCCCGTTATACAAACACACCATATCTGAAAATACAAGGACCAAAATTCAGGCAGATTGTATATTAGTGAATATTAAGATGATTGCTGCCCTGCGATGGATTGGCGACCTGTCCAGGGTGTACCCCGCCTTCGCCCGTTTGCCGGCCGGGATTGGCTCCAGCCCCACCCGTGACCCCACTCAGGGATTAAGCGGTAGAAAATGAATGAATGAATGAAGATGATTGCTTTTATAGCACAAAGCTTTATAACATATGTTTGGTTCTGTACTGTACAGTTTGAAAATGTGAACACTTTGTCTCTTTCTTTCCAGAGTACAACATCTCTGCTGCAGCCATCTCCATCTTCAGTGTGGCCTTCATGATCCTGGGGTCTCTGTGTTTGATAGTATCATATACCACTACAAACAAAGGCAAACAAAGAGACTACCTCCTCAAACCTGCTGGCATGTTTTATGCATTTTCAGGTGAGTTCATTTAACCAACAAAACTGAAACATCCTTGCTGCATTTAGAGCCTGGGAACCCGCAGCTACCCCAGGTGTTACCACAGGCTGTCATATCTGACTCACATTTACCCTTCTCACTCCTGCCCAGGTCTCTGTGCCTTTATCTCACTGGAGATGATGCGCCAATCAGTCAAACGAATGATCGAGAGCGAGGACACGCAGTGGGTCGAATATTACTACTCCTGGTCCTTTGCTTGTGCCTGTGCTGGTTTTGTTCTTCTCCTTCTCACTGGCTTTGCCCTCCTGATCCTCTCGATGCCCCAGATGCCCAGGAATCCATGGGAGACTTGCATGGACGCCGAGCCAGAGCAAGCAGAGTGATAGCTAAATGGACAGATGGATGCAGGATGAGAGCGATTAAATCTTTTCTTTTGAGTACAGATGTTAGATTAATTTCAAGAACAAGACCTGGCCATAACAGGGTAAGGTCACGATGACAGAAACCGGCTCTGGTAGATCGATATAGATTGATAGAAAATAAAACCCAACTTTAATTGTTCATCTTTCTGCAGTATGTAGGAATCAGAGGCAAGAGAGCAGACTTGAAGGTTAACGGTCATTTATTGCTGAATGGTCTGGGGAAAATAGCATCAATATCAATAAGAGCAACATGCACAAGCATAGAAAGTATATGGGTTGGGGGTCTACACTCCCAGTCTCACTTTGCTTCAACAATAACATTTCAGATACTGATTCCTTCCCTTAATATGGTCAGTTACATGGCCAAAAACAGGCAGATATTTGAGACTAAGAAGAAAGCATGTACACGTTGGAATATAAAACGTAGACCACACTTTGCAGCTGTGCCCTTTGCATGTAGGGCGTTTCCTTTGACTATCCCTTACATGGGACACTCCACGGGGAGGACAACTGTCAACTCTGTCAGCACAGCCTGCCATTTCAAGACCAAACTGTTGTTGGGTTCCATCAAGCTTCTTTAAGCAACAGTTTTTATTCATCAGCCATGATGGCAATTTTACCTTCCTATAATTGTTCAGCAACCTGAATGTGGGCCTTTTGTCAGAGTTTGAATGTTTGCATTATCCTTTCTGTTACATACTGTTCATGTTGGTGACCAAAGATCAAATTTGATCTGTGGAAACCATCAAACATCTCAGTGAGAGCTGACCCAGGCATTTGCAAAGAACATAACACTTTCCTTTTGCCATATTCCTTTACAACAACAAATGATTACAAGTTACTGCGTAGTCTGGTTTGGTCTCCCATACTATTCAGTGTATGATCAACATGCACACCTTACTGAAAAAGTTTAAATAAGAATATAATAAATGCAAACACACAAGCTACAGTCATGGCCAAAAATGTTGTCACCCTGCATTTCTGTCAGATAATGCACCACTTCTCCCAAAAAATTGTTGCAATCACAAATTCTTTGCTATTCTCAGGTTTATTTCTTTTGTTTGCATTGGAACAACACAAAAGCAGAGGAAAAAGCCAGATCTGATCCATTTCACACAGAACTCCAAAAATGCACTGGACAGAATTACTGACACCCTCAGCTTAATATTTGGTAGGACACCCTTTAGACAAAATAATTGAAATCAATCTCTTCCTGTAACCATCAGTGAGTTTCTTCCACCTCTCTGCTGGAATTTTGGACCACTCTTCCTTTGTCAACTGCTCCAGGTCTCTCAGATTTGAAGGGTTCCTTCTCCCAGCTGCTGTTCTGAGATCTCAACACAGGTGATCTATGGGATTTAGATCTGGACTCATTGCTGGCCACTTCAGAACTCTCTACCTAACTGTCTGAAACCATTTCTGCTTTTTTAAGTCTGCTTTGGGTCATTGTCCTGCTGTAAGACCCATGGCCTCTGACGGAGACCCAACTTTCTGACATTGGGCCCCAGAATTCATTGGTAGTTTTCAGATTTCATAATGCCTTACACACAATCAAGACATCTGGTGCCTGAAGCAGCAAAGCAGCCCCAAAACTTCAGTGACCCTCCACCATGTTTGACTGTAGGGACCGTGTTCTTTTCTTTGAAGGCCTTATTTCATTTTCTGAAAGCAGTAGAATGACGTGCTCGACCAAAGAGCTCTATTTTAGTCCCATCTGTCCACAGGACATTGTCCTAGAAGGATTGTGGCTTCCTCAGGTACATTTTGGCAAACTCCAATCAGACTTTTTTATGGTTCTGTGTCAGCAGTGGGTCCCCCTGGGTCTCCTACCACAGCATCCTTTGTCATCCAGATGGCAACAGATAGTGTGAGCTAACACTGATGCACCTTGCCTGCAGGTCAACTTGAATTTGTCTGGAAGTGGATCAAGGTTCTTTATCCGCCAGTCAATCCTTTGTTGCAGTTTGTCATCTATTTTTCTCTTTCGCCCACATCCAGAGAGATTAGCTACAGGACCATGGGCTGGAAACGTCTTGACAGTGGACACAGGAACAGCCAGATCTCTGGAGATGGGCTTGTAGCCTTGAGACCATATTGTGGTTCTCAAATCCTCAGACAGTTCTTTGCTCTTCTTTCTTTTCTCCATGGAGTTCTGTGTGGAATGGATCAGATTTGGCTTTTTTTCTCAAATTCTTTGTTGTTCCAATGCAAACAAAAGAAATAAACATGAGAATACCAAAGAATTTGTGATTGCATCAGTTTTCAGGGAGAAATGGTGCATTACCTGACAGAAATGCAGGGCTGCTGATATTTTTGGCCATGACTGTACCTGACACAAGGGTCACTTAATTATGTATGATATCTTGTACATATCTTATGTTCTTCAGTTGAATTTTGTGTGGCATCGCTCAAGGAATTACAAGATCTATACACTGTTGTATATTTCTAAGACTTAGAAAGGACCTTTACAGATTAAGAATATGCCTTTAAAGTAAAAGCTTTGTGAGTAAATCAGTGATTTAAAGCCAAGAAGCAGCAGCAGCACAGAGCTGATTTGTGTGTGTGTGTGAGGCTGAATGCTAAACACCCACACTGTCACTGCACAGCAGTGATCACGCTGGAAAAGGTTCAGTTCTAGCAGGTGCACATAGAAGGGCTTTTACTTTTTGCTGACAGCGTCCAAATCAAACTGAAACAAAAAATTCTGTGTTCATTTTGATGTCTCACAATCAATTTGATACATGTGAAAAACTGGTGCTTGCATCTGATTATGTCATTGCATTTTTGCTGTGTGGAACAAATGTACAGAGGATATATAAAAACTCACTTGAGCTCATGAACTGTGCTTCACAAGCTTTAGCCATATAGGCAGACAATTAGAGAGGTACAAACAACGTGTCACCTCATCTGCCACAGAATTTTATTTCATCTGTAGAAAGAAGCATGCTGTTTTGTTTGAGAATGGACTGTCATTAACCAGTCAAATCACACAAGCACATAATATACAAAGGAAATGCAACTCAAAGGCGTGGCGTTTGGCAACACTGCACACCAGGTGGGTTATTTTTAAATCATAGCTGTCAATGAAAGTTGCTATTTTGACTTGCAGTTTTAAATACACATTTCACATGCAGCACTCTACAGCATGAATGAAAACGCTGCTCATTCAGTTACAGCTTTGCAAACTCAGTATTTGGTATGTGCTTAAACAACAATGAACAAAATGAAAATGTGGACGGGTGCTGCAAAGTAAAGTTCAAACTAGTTTGAGTCAGGTGAGCTTGAGAAGCAGTTCATCAGGATGATATGTGTGGCTTGACTTTTTTCCCCCTCTATTCTTCTATCTCTGCCAGGGGTCTGCCAGTGCCTGAGAGCAGCGCAGACCTCCTTTACCCTCCTCAAAACCATCAAGCACACAACCAACCAAGTATATACAAACATTCAATATCCTCATAGTTCCTTCATTCATCCTTAGCGAGGGCGGGTCCCTGCTAGTGAGCAGTCTCTCAGCAAGGCATTTGTTTATACCTTGTTTGGCACCGTCTATGACATAACCTCTGCCATCCTAGCCATGCATATAGAAGTGAGCAGTTTACAGTGGGAGAGCATTTGCCCTTTTTGTGCAAAACCTGGCGTAAAGTTACAGAGGATCATATCAGTCTCAGTGGTTTGTGAGAGCTGCATCCATCATTACCAGTATGAGCTTCTTGAAGGGCAAAAGTTCATTTAGTATGCTTTACTTTTAAATTAATTGCTTCTTGTTTTCCCTGAATGTTATTTTGCCAACACATCTAACTCAAAAAACAAAAAAAAAAATACTAAAAAGTGAAATAAAGAGAAAAGAGGAATAGTAAAAGGTTGATATGATTTTTCTCAATTTTTAGTTTTAGGTTTTGGTCTTTTTCATTGATGTTAGCATGCAGTCAGTCAAGTTTTGGAATGCAGCCGATTCTGTGTGACTATGTTTCTTATAAGCTCTATCTTTGTAATGAAAATTAAATATGGAGCAGCTCTGGAAAACCGGTTTGACCACTTTATTTGCCATGTATGAGAACTAAAGAAGAAGATGCTTTATAATGAAAACTGATGTTAAAATACTGTATTGACACGGCCTCTTCATTCACAGGCTACCACTGTCTGCATTCTCCCAAATCACTCAGCACTCTGGGATGGGGAAACTCCATAACATCCATCCATTGTCTAAACAGCTTAGTCCCAAACGGGGTCACGGGGGGCTGGAGCCAATCCCAGCCAGCTGCGGGCGAAAGGCAGGGTACACCCTGGACAGGTCGCCAGCCCATCGCAGGGCCAACACACAGATGAACAACCACTCACACACACACAAGCACTCCTACGGGCACTTTTAGAGACACCAATCAACCTATGCTGCAGGTCTTTGGACTGTAGGAGGAAGCCGGAGCACCCGGAGAGAACCCACGCAAGCACAGGGAGAACATGCAAACTCCGCACAGAGTTGGTTGGGGCTCGAACCCAGAACCTGCTTGCTGTGAGGCAACAGCGCCACCATGCTGCCCCAACTCCATAACAATGCCATGCAAACACTGTCACTTCTCTCTAGTGCAATTTTTCAATGCAGAGAATGAGGAGGGGGGAAAAATGACAAATCAACCTGTTTCAATAAAAAACACTTTAATAGAGAAACAAATAAAAAAAAAAGAAAATAAACCTTTGAAACACAGTCTATATCCTTTATTATAACCACCACCAATTGAGATGAAGAAGAGTAAAACAGATCTATTCATTATTTTGTACCCACATGGGAGGAACCAACAGGGCTGGGAGGCTGGGAGAACAGGTGTGCCATTGATTCACTGCAGCGAGGGAAGGAAACAGAGGAGAGCTAACAAATGACAGGGAGAAATGTGGCTGAACACAGTGCTCTCTACTGGCTGGGCAAAAGGTTGCTCCCTTTCCATGTGCCCCACACACAAGTTGGTTTGTTTTCATAAAAAATGAAACGAGAAAACAACCAGTTCAGATGGTATATAGTGATATATGGTGCAACACTGGGGGGGGGTGAGCACATTTCTAATACAACTTCATTTGAAAAGCCAGTGGTGCTACCCTTCATTTCTTAGCAAAGACCTTGTCAAACTCATGTTTTGAAAGAACACAAAGATGCTTGAGGGGACAAATATAAACTCTAAATGAAATCTCTTTAAAAATGT